ATTATTGCTCAAAAGCTGCATAATTAATCGTTTGGTGATTAAGCTTACATTGGCTCCATACTAAGGCAGCACGATTAGTCAAATGTGGGGGAAAATAAATGTCACAGACCTGTTTCTTACTACAATATCTGTGTCAAAATAAGTTCTCCTTTGCCTTGAAAACTGACCATAACAGCTTTTCCTATCCATTCATATTTAAATTGGATCATGAGAAACAAATAGATACTTTGCATCTTCAAATAAGAAATATATGAAATATGTATTTTTTAATGGTGGCAGAGGAGCAAGGCACTTGGGAAATGGTAGGCCCAGAGCTGGAGGTACCTAGAATCTGAATCTTCTAGAAAGGGATGATGAGGAGGATGCTGTGATTTAATCTCATCCCAGCTTCAATTTTATTACAACTCATATTCTCTTTGGAAGTTCTTGCCAAGCACTACTTTTTACCCTATGAGATAGCTTTTTACCCTATGAGATAGCTATGTACACGTTTTAGTAGAGCTTCACAGCAGAAAGTCACTCAGGAAGAAGGGCAACTGCACCCCTGAGGAATTTTTGTCTGCTGTCAGATGCTTCTCAATATTTATCTGTTATCTTCAGAGTATTTCCAGGGCCATTAGTCTGTCAGGTTTCCTAAGGACCTTTCAAGCACCGTTCTACACATCCTAAACTGTTTCATGGGATGTTTATGGCCATCAGTGCAGGAGAAGAGCATCCTTTGCTATGATGATAAAATCTGTTTTTGCCATTGCTTGAAATTGCTTGAAGGAGCCACGATCAAAAACTGTTGCTGCCTGCCAGCCTAATATCTCAGGTGGTGGTAACTTAGTTCACCATTACAGTGGATTTTCTGCTGTATCATGACTTATGGCAGTGCAGTGATGCTTTTTGTGAGGAGCCCACTGTGTGGGAGTACAGATCCCACATAATGGGCTCCTTTGTATGAGCCTACTGTGGATCTTGAATTGATTGCCCTTTAAATGGGGGCATGGTCAAATCAGAGTGTGTTCAAGAAGAAGTGTAAAGAATGAGTTTGTCTACTTGTTAAAATAATTACTGAATTACATATAGTGAAGCACTATGGAAAGCTGCTGCTTGATATTTGTTTGATTTTTAAAATTCTGTGCTAAAGCAGGACACTGCTAATAGTTATACACTGGCTTCTTTCAATATGTTTATATTCTAAACTGCAGTCCTTGCCCAAAATTGGAAAATTTGCCAAAGATGATCTGATTAGTGTCAGAAGTGGGAAAAAAAATATTGAGTTACAGAAATTTTGATTTCGGAGTGTATAAGCCAAATAACAGAAGTTCTTATGCTCAAATAGGCCATCCTTTCATACACAACAAAAGCACCAGTAGGTATAAACAAAACCAAGTGGGACAGTATTTCCAGGAGGGAGGACTTATTTCTTTTCTTTAAGGTGCATTAGGATTGCAGCTTATTGGTGGCAGCCACATGAAAAATGCCAAAACAAACAACAAACCCCACCACACTCTTCAGATCAAAAATTAAACTTGCCACAGCTGCAAGTCTGCTTTCTAAATGGGCTTTCTGCACACTGATCTTTATGCACAGATTTTCTGTTTTCCCATCTGTTTTACAGAACTAAGCCTTTTCTTCAGAATAATGTATTTCCTGGTTTATATTGTGTGATGATTTGGTTGGCTTGGTATTTGTTACAAAACCTTACTTTAATTTGGAGAAAACTGCAGAAGCAATGCTGTCCTCTCAGATCTCATTCAGATACCTGACTCCCTGTGCTCTTAGACAAACTTGAATTGTTCAATTTGTTCCTTATTAACTCAAGAAACATGAAGTGTTCTCTTGTCCAAGCTTCTTCCCTAAGTAGTTTTTTTGTTTATCTCGCTTCCTCATACTTGAAGTTTTTAAAAATAGGGCATCACATTGTATTTGCAGACTGTGGTCAAAAATGGTTCCAGGTTCTTACATGATATATGTAAGTGTGCATAGCAATTTGTCTGGTATTTCTTAATCTCCAGCAATATATAATTTTGTAATTAGTTCAATTAATTGGACCAGTTTTACTGATTTTTGAAGGCTACAAAATAAGCTGCATACTAAATTGCATTACTTTAGCTGCTGTTACATCAAATGTAGCTGTAATTCCCTTTATCACTGCTAAATACTGACTACCCTTTGGTTTTCACCAGGATGAGTCTGACTGGAATCTGCTACTTATTTTTCTTCTTTATAAGGTAGACCCAGTTCAGGAAAAATAGGAGAAGAAAAAAATCTTTTACATAAAGGATCTGAATACAGATACAAATGAAAGTTGTACAGAAGAATTCTCAACAGAGTGAAATGCCTTTGGATCTCCTCATTTCACATTTACTTTTGAACACAGCAGTGGTTTAACTTTTTGGGCAAGCATCCTGTTACGTGGTGCTTTTTCCTCTTCGAACTGTGTCTCTGTGGAGGGAGCTGAGGCACATTTTGAAAACTCAGAATAGCAGAGAATGCAAGGCTTATTTTCCATAGGGCAAATGCTGTATGCAACACTTAGAGTGTGAAGGCACACAAAGTCTGTACAAACCTACTCCCTCTCCAGGAAACAACCATTTCTTGTGTTGAGTCACAGCCTGCAAAGTCAGGGTTTAGGTGTCCTAGGGCAGATTGGTGTGCTGGCTATTGGTCTTGTTGAACAGTTAAGGCTGTTTATTCCAAAGCCTTTTTGCTGCCTTTGATTCAATGTTTTTCTGAATGATTTGCCTGTGGGAGAACATTGTGTCTGGAAATAGTGTGAGTAACCATGAGAAAACCTCACAAAGGAGGTGGAGGTAGTCATCAGGTCCATACAATTTCCTTAAGCAGCGTTACATTTTTATACACACAAGAAACCTTTACTCTTGTTTTAATTAGCAAACCTCTTAATTGCTTGTTGTCTGTAATGTGCATGTCAGTGGTGGCAGATGGCACCATTACTTTGGTGCTAGAGCTCAGGGGGGTTTGAAGAGCAAAGGTTTAGCCTGCTGCCATAAGATGCACCACTTTCAGATATGCACCCAACAATTTCTGTGTAGGTATATGTTTTCCTGGTCAATTAGCAGGATACATTCCTGTTCCCATCCACTGAGCAACTGACTGGGTGTCTACAAATGCCTGAAATTCAAAGAACTCTTAGACCAGAATAAATTTTGCACAGATGACTTCACAAATCTTAGAGCAGCAGCTCCCACATTTTACTAAACTTCTTATCTGTCATGGAATTTCATCTAGGGTTCAGTTGTAGAGGCTGCTAGGAAAGGCCATTATGCAGAGAAAATGAAAAACATTAATTAACCTTGGTAAGCCTGCCAGCAAACTTTTCAGGGCACAGAAAGAGAAATAAAAGTGTCCAAAGGTTAATGACTCAGCCAGCATTTGTAAATGCAGCAGATAGAGTTACAAAGTGTGTACCTTAGGATTTATAGGTGTCTCTGTCCCATTGGTAAGGGCACTGCAGCTGCACATTCACTGCAGTGAACAAGTCCTGTACAAATAATGAGAGGTTTGTGGAGAGAGCACTGAAGAACACCGAAGAAATTTCCTGCATTGTTTCTTGCGCTGCTCAGACATTGGGATCATCAGCAATATTCACAGAGTGATGCAATGCTTTTACCTTGTCTGATAGATCTGCTGTTAGAACATCTTGCCCTAGAATGTGAATGCCACTGCACCCTTTAAGTGACTAATTATGCTTTGTCTTTTTAGTTTGTCTTACTTAATCAGTATAGAAAACTCCACATATACTTTGCTGTGTGTAATTAAGAATGAAAAGCCTGTGCAGAGCTTATCTCAGGTCATCTGAATTCTTAATCTCACCTTTAGTTTCTACTTTCCTGAGAACTGCAGTGAAAGAGAAATAAGCTATACCACGTGGTCAACTGGCTTAAGGTTTTATAAGGAAAAGGTTTCCAAAGTCAGTCCTCCCTAGCTGAAATCCCTGTTTCACTGCTTCTTATTCTTTTATGTGGATTTTTGCCAGTGTTTTCTAGGCTTGAGCACCACTGAAGGCTTCAGTTGCCACTTGGATTACAGCTGTGTTTGAGTGTTTATCATTCTAGTCACTGCAAACAGGAAAGAACAAACCTACAAAATCTGCACCCTAGAAAAATTTGGAAGCTTACTGGCTGGAGTTATTAAATGGTGTGAAAGTTTATCAAGAAACATTGCTTCATTAATAGAAGTCACCTTGTGAATCAGTGTGTCTTTTTCCCAAACCAAAGCATTATTGTCCATTCTGGATGTGAAAAGTCATAGCCCATGTAGCCAAACACAAGCCGAATCCATGAAATTAAGACACTGATTTCATACCCTGAGGCTTCAAACTCAAGATCTGTTTCACTTGAATTAAGGTTAATTTAGTGAACAGAAATAATGAATACCTTTAAAAGCTGGAAAAAAGGTTATTTAAACTAAAAGACATGAAATGAATGGGGTACAATAGCAGGGTACTTTTGGAAGGGGTGGTAAGGCTTGTTCTTAGGAACAGTTATTCTCTAGTACCTCTTTTGATCCTTTTGGATTTATTCTTTCCTATATCAATTGACTTTTTCTCATCACTTTTCCACTCTGAAGACCTTTCACATTGCAAAGGAGTGTCCTTCCTGACCCTTCTCTCCAATTTGGCTTTCTAAACCCAGGGTAAAGGCTGAGGTGTGGTTTTTTGAGATCAAATTATCCAGAGAAGCTGAGATTAGCACTAATTTGGTTATCTTTAGTTACACAAAAGCTGTACTGAACTGATAAGGCGTAAAAGCCCAGCTGGATGACAGCAGGCAAGGCATTTCATGTTGTCTGAACATTTGGATCCCATCTCCTGTGAGAGCATAAGCAGTGACAGTTTGGCTGTCTCACCTTAAAACTCACACAAGCTTAACTAAAGCCAGAAATTAAGTGTATTTCTGCTCACAAAACATACAGGTACCTCTTCAATTGCTTTTATTTTTGCTGATGTTTCTAGTGGAGCTTTGGCTATATGAACTTGTGCTACTCACTTGGCTTGATTTTGGGCCAGTCTGCTGCTTCTATCCTGTGGTCTTCGTATTTCTTGCCCGAATAGGCGAAGAGGTAGCGGCTGATCTCTGCTCGTCCCCGCAGGTTGAAGTAGGTGAGCTTGTACTGTGGCATGCTGGGCTCTGCTGGGAGGGGAGACAGACCTGCTTCAGAGAAAGTTAACTCCTTTTTTACAAAACCACTCTGTGTGCTTGTTTTTGACAGTCGTGCTTGTACAATGCAGAGGAAATATTACACCAAGCCCTGGTGCGTTGCACTTTGCAATCGTTGTGTTGCTCACACCTTTTTGTTCTGCATTTGTCAGCCTCAGCACACGCAGATGTGGGCAAAGACAGATGAACCTGCAGTTCCTCCTTGTGTGTCTCTAGAAAGCTGGCTTGATTTTTTTTCAGCTGTAATAGGAACTTTTAGATTTAACTTCTTTCTCTTGTGATTCCTCAAAGAACTCAGGCCATTTTTTATAAAGTGATTTTTGGTTTGTTTTCCTTCCAGAGTGCAAATCTAAAATCATATTCTATACCAGAATATAGTTCCTATCTGGAGCAGCAATTTTGTTCAGACCTGTCCTGCTCAGGCCCTACTTCTTATGGCGAACTTCATCCAAGACCAAATCATGAGAATTGCCAAACTCTTGAGATTTTTTGCATCAATTATTACCCAAGTTATGTAAGCAATTGCCCAGAATTATTTCAGAAGACAAATTTTCTATGGAAACCAGACTACGGTGTTGTTTTGAGAAAATCGTAATTGAATTTTCAGGTATTTATAGAAGCCAAAAGAAAACTTGAAATTACTTTTTTAAGTTTTCATGTGATTTATTTTTTTCCCTTCAATTCTGTTAGGAGTCACGTTACAGGAAGGCTCTATTTGTTTCCCAGGGTAACAGGCAACAAAAGAAAGTATTTGAGTTTGATTGTATAGCAAGGATGGTACAGGAAAGGTGAACAGATAAGGTTGCTTTAAACCAAAGGTAAGCATTTACACATGGCACTTTCATAAGAGAGCTCAGCTGAGATTTGAATGTGTCGGCAAAAGGGTAGCAAAACAACCGTCTGCCTCCTCACCCAAAGCAAAACCCTTTCTCATTTTTGCCTTGAAGTAGACATTGCATTTACCACTCTTTTATACTCACCACATTCAGAGTGTTTGTAAGAAAGTCAGGAACACAGATCAACTGCACTAGGACAGAAAGAGAACTCTTTTTTCCTTTTTTTAATGAGTATGTGCTGCCATATAATCTCACAATAGAACAACCCCCTGTTTAGTCATCTTGCCTTGAAAACATGTGCTGGAGGAGATACACCATCAGCTTTCACTTTAGATGGAGAAGCTCTTCCTTCAGAAACAGAAAACCTTACCCTTAACTGAAAAGAGCAAACTGCTTTTGCCACTTGTTCCACTAAAGTCAAAACATATGCCTTCTGTCTTCAGAGTAGCAAAAGCAAAAAGACAACCCAAAGAAAAAAAAAAACATAGCAAATGAGCACATTAGAGGCTGCTTAATTCATTGGGAAAGTCATCTGCTGCCCTACAGCACACAGCAGGCTCAGAAGTGAATTATTGTGAATGGAGACTTCTCATTTCAGATGGCCTAGCAGAGAAGCAGGAACACAGCTGGAAAGTTACCAAAGGAGATATCTAAAAGTGCTTCCAAACAGAGGCTCCATTACAATTATTAAGTGTGTTCCTTTGCACAGTATAAAAGAGAGAGGATCCAGGTGAAATGAGTTGCACCAGGATGTGATTTGTTTTTTTAGATGTGTTAATTACAGGGAAACACATTTGTCTGCTGCTTGGCAAATGCAGCTCACAGATTACAGGTGCAACAACTTCTTCCTATAAAAAGAATGAAAGCTTTTTCAAGTATGTTTTAGGCAAGTGGCAGAGCTTGGCTACTCCATTTTCAAATTTTTTACCCACATTTATTACTTAGTATGCTCTACTGCATATATGATAAAACTATATAGTATTATACACTATGAACTTGGATTATATGCCTGCAAAGTTAATGTAAAAAGAGAGAATTAGATTATATTAATTAATTAGAATTTTCTTCCCTTTTGTCCCTGTTTCTGATTTGGTGTGGTCATTTGAGAGTGAAGAATGGCATTTTTAAAAGAGCATGTGTTATCTGAGATTCATGACAGTGATTCAGGAGCCAAGGGGCAAAATAGCACAAACCTTGAGTCTTCTCAGTTTTTTAGAAACAAGAAAATGCTATTGATTTAGTCTGATTTACTGATATAGTGTCTGTTTCCCTCCTTTAGGAATGCCCATAGAGTTTTTTCCATGAACATTTACAGCAGTCTGAACTTGCTACACTCACATGGCTCCTGTTTCCCAGCTGCCTCTGGCCCACTTAGCCCTGTGTTAGCAAAGAGTTGCTGGCAGCTAATGAAGGCATTTAAAAGCATAAGAATAGTAGATTTTTAAGGTGCAGCCGTGAGGGAGTAGACAGCTACATTGAGAGACAGCTGGAGATGGTTAAGGCCTAAACATATTCCAATAGGTGTGTTGGAAGAGCATAATTCTTGGAGTGGGAGCACTCTGTACACAAAGAGCTGTACACAGCCAAGAGTAGTGAAGTAATGTAAAGAATTGGGAGTTCTGGCTGATGATCAGCAAGTCTCTCTGCCTGTAGTGGTAGATAGTGGAATATTTTGGTCTGTCAAGGAAGCAGCGGAAACTACTGTTTGAATTGTCTAAAGCAAAGATAAACAAATTTTTAATGAACACACCATAAGGAGTAATCAAGTATTTGTAGTGGTGATGCACTTTTAAGCTTATGATTTTTTTTCCGTCCAAAACAACAAGAAAAACCAAAACCAACTCCACAAGGAGTTTACCAAAAGTACTTGATGTTTTAAAAGCCTTTATAGGTTTACTGTAAGCATGCTTTTTGTAAATGTTTGTAGGTTTTATTTTTTATTTATACTTACTGTGAAATGTCAGCAGTAATGCTTCCTAAACAATTACAGCTAAGTTTCTAAATTAAAGAAATGCTTGTGTTCAGAATAGCTTTTTGCCAAACATACAAAATAAGCCGTTAGGGTCTTTTTTCCCTTGTCTTTTTTTTCCCCTCATTTCCCCAGTGTGAAGTGTGTATAAAGGCAGATCATGAGGAAAGAAATTAAAACTATTTAAACTATTTAAATTAAAACTATTTAAATTCAGAATTACTGAATTATTGAAAAATGCCATTACTAGGGGAAAAAGACCTATTGGGTGTCTTTGAGCTGGTTTTTGGGATGAAGATGTTGGGGACTTTTTTGGAGGTGGAGAGCAGGAAAATATTTTAAATATATAAATATTTTAAAATAGTTTAAATATTTTAAACTATTTAAATTTATTTCTCTTTTTTTAGGTTAGGCATGGCTGAAAAATACTGAAAGATGGTGGAGGTAGGTGGACCTCAGTGTCCAGACTTGCAGGTATTTAGCCACCTTAGTGCTAAAATCTTTAATTTAAATCTTAATTTAAATCTGTTCAGGTGAGTTCATTGCAAAGCCAGATGTGTATAAAGGTAAGAGGGGACTGATTTACCTTCCACCAATACACCTGCCATCTAAGCAGTGTTTTTCCAATTTCTGTTCTGATGGATACATGTCTGGGACAGCCCTGTACACCTGCCCTGTCCTACACCGACAGCACTTCTGAAAGCTCATGTCTCTATAAACAATTTGATGGGTGAAGGTGTGGGTGTTAATGTTATTGAAATGAGTGTTAATGTCTCCACCAACTCTGGGCAGCAGGTTTGTTGCAGAGCCCAGAGAGCTTGGCTCCTGAAACAGAAGAGGGGCTGCACAAGCCTGAACTACTGAACTTTGGGGTGAAATAGTAGGTTCAAGGGGGGAATATGAGGTATGTGGTTTGGGAAGGCTGTACCTTCCCAGTGCCTCAGTCAGTGGGGAAGGAAAGGGGGTAAGGTGTGGCTGGGAGTTTAGGATAAAAGGAGGCTGTGCCCTCTGAAACCTCGAGAGGGAAAATCTCGTGGGCCTGTGCCCCACTGGAAACTCTCCCTTTATTCAAATAAAGTTGTAGGACTCTGCTGTCTCCTTTTTGGACATAAACATTGTGGATTTGTAAACATTTGTAAGCATTTGTGGATTTTCCTGATGCTTCAGTCCCAGTTTCATGGCATCCAGCTTTCAAAGCCATGAATTCGACAGCTTTAAATTTACTATTAAATTAGCTTTAATACTTTAAAGTTGTTGACCTGCTTAACTGATTTTCCAGCTATCCTCTGTGACTTTCTGAAAGCCAGCTTAACTGGCTTTAACATACCTTTAAACAGAAGATTAATGGATCTCATGATTAAATTCAACTTGGAACCACTCAGTGACAAAATCAAACAGGAAATCTGAGAGAATTTTAAGTATGTGTAAAGTTGGCATCCACCATTATACTCATGAGTCAAAAAACCAGGGTGGAGTTACAAGTGTCTGAAAATTTTATGACAGACTTCAAATTATTGGAAACTGTTTGTGGCTTTACAGAGATGTTATATTTCCTGATGAACTTGGGGTGCTTTTATTCCAGTTGAAGCAGGATTGAGCAATCAATTTGAAAACTTCAAGCAAGATTAGCGTTAAAAAAACAGAGCCCAGGAAGGAACCAGCATTTTCTGGGAACTGAAATACTGAGTTTTAGATAGCAGTAGTACAGAAGAGAAAAACCACCGGCAGACTGGACGCTGCTCAGGCTGCTTTTCATGTGTGTACCCAGAGCACGCAGCCTCTGCTAGCCAGTGTTTGGTCCTGCGTGCCCAGCCTCAGCAAAATTAAGCACCAAAACTCTGCTGGGCTCTCTAGTGGAACAGTGCTCCATCTGTCTTTTGGAAAATCCAGCCCTCAAGATAATACAAGAAAATATTCTTCAAGGTGGTAACAAGCACCAAAACCTGGATGCATGTGAGGAGCTAATTCTCTTTTATTTATGCCTCAACAGAGACTGTCGCCATTTTAGGGCCTTGAAGCAGACAGCGCCCTCAGAAAATGGCAGGAAGCTCTGGCCCCGGGGGATTTCACCTGGCAGTACATCTCAACATGGTCCAGGTTTTACGCTACAAATCTATTTTCTGACACGGGGTGGAAAATTACTCTAGAGCTTTAATGCATGCTAT